AATTTTTTTTTTAATAAAATATTTAATTATTTCATAACAAGCATCACATACTCTTGATTAATTGAATTTATTTAATTTAATATCTATTAAACTTATTAATTTGGTCACTTTGGTGACTAACAAATTAAACATTACATAGATATTAAATAAATAATAATTTCAATCATATCAATTTACTTTAGTTTTATTGATCTAATTAAAAAACTAATTCACAGCGGAAATTTATTACAATTAACACAAATAAAATTATATGAAAAATCATAAATTTAGTAATCAAGGCTCTGATACCACATGTTAGAAAATTCATGTTTCAACTTTATACACAAATTACAAAAGAAAAGTACATAATAGCCAAGATCTTTTAAATTCATGATTTTTACATATGTAAAAATAAAGCGACGCATACCTGTATTCATGATGAACAAATTTGATCTTGAAGAGATGGAGTTTCTCTCTCTAATCCCTTAAAACTTTCTGTACTTTCTGATGGAGAGAAATGTACGAGGTGTGTTGGGTAGAGAGAGGACCCATTCTCAAATTCATGCTCTATTTATCCACCATCCATCAAGGGGGTTACTAACCAATAGGATTTATGATAATTTAATAAATTAATTGATTTTTATTAATAAAATCAATGACATAAGTTAGTAATATTTATTTATTTTAGGGGTTATAGAGTTACAAAAATAAATATCACAAGTTATCATAAATTATGACATAAGTTATGAGTTAAGAAAATAAATAACTTAAGTTATCAAAATAAATATCATAAGTTGTCATAATTTATGACATAAGTTATGAGTTATGAAAATTAATAACTTAAGTTATCAAAAATAAATCTCATAAGTTATTAAAATAAATGTGAGTCATAAATAAAAATATAACATTATTGAGGGGTTATTGGTAGGTTATTGGGTATTAATTTAAATAAAATATAGCCCCAATAACATTTGTCGGTTCTATTTCGATGTTATTCATAAGTTCTTATGAGTGTATTGCGGGTTTATTGGAGCACACACGCAAAGTTGCGTGCGTATTTTGAATGAAAATATTTTCCCATTTGTCATACATGCTCAATTCCTTGGGTTTGATTCCCGAAGAACACATTTGGGTTCAACATTTAATTCCTCAAATGACCTAAAACCTAAAATAGAACAATTAATCCATATACAAATAACTCTTATTATAAACTAAAAAACAAACTCAAAAATTTAATAAATCCAACCAAATTAACAAAGTATAAAATCTGTCCAATTATCGATTCATTTACAAACTATAATTAATATTATAAATATAAAAATTAGTCATTGCCCCAATTTTATTTTATATTTTTCAAAAAAGTCATTTGCATAAATACTACCCATTATTATTTACGTTTATACCATTCAAATCATTTATATTACATTAAAAATTTTAATTTAATTGTGATTTTTAACTTAAAAATAAAATGTTTGCTTTCATCCATAAACAAGATGGCACACATGAAAAATTTTGAAATTTAGGTGTTTGAAATGTAAATACATA